TGTCAAACGTACTACCTCCCCTCCCCCCACACCCCCTCGCTCGCTCCCTCCCTCCCTCTCCCCCATCTGCTTGGCGTTGCTGGAATCCTTGTAAAACAGTGGATAATTTTAATATAAACGTCATGTATTTTGCACAAGAGATAAAAATTAATCACCTGTATCACATTACAGTAGTGATTTAAGAGTAAAAGTGTATATGAACGTTAGGGGGCAGGGAAAAAACACTTTTATTTGAGTTGCAGGCTGCACTTTTCAGGCATCGTTTGTATGGCTGTAACAAACACCTGTGCAAAATTTCATGCCATTTCATGCATACTTACCCTGCCACATCGCGAACGACTTTTTGTCAACTTTTAGTGTATACCAAAAATTAGGTGTCATTTAATGTTTTCCAGGATAATGATAAATTTTACATGGGTGACATCGATTTAATTCACATGTTATTTTACAGGTACACCGTATAGAAAATCATTACAAGTTCATATTGAAATTCTTTTTTGTGCGGAACCTTGGCATCATTTTCCTAGACAATAATCTTTGCCTAATATATCCATCTCTCGATTCGTATCCCGTCACTTCAGTGCAAGCTTCAGTCATCACTTTTATGCCTCTCTCGACCGCCTGAGTGCTGTTTGGCCACTTGGGCACCACTAATGGTGTCTCAAGAATGTCATTAACCTGTAGATTTGACAGAGAAGCAATGTAAGGAGGCTCAGTCTTGAGTTCATTCCTCCAGTTAATCATGGAATGATAGTTTTTTGCTTGCCACTTTAGTTTCGGAGTCACCACCTTTCTCATGTTGACTACAGGAGGCACATCCTCATTCCCATCTCCATCTTTACCCTCCTCATCAGTATAGTTTAACAAATTCTCGTCAACAGCAGCATCAGAATCTTCCTCCTCCTCTTCAGATCTGCCAGTGCATTCTTCCTTTTGCTGATTCTCCTCTCTAATTTTTCTTATCATTGAGACAGCTTTTTCTCTAACAGTCATGTCCTCATCTGCACACATACCAAGAAGAAGTTCATCTGTGTGGGCGAAGTATGCATTTCTCTGGACAGCCTTCTTCACTATCGTCTCCTCCTCACTATTCAGGTGTTTCATATATAGCAGGGACTGGAATACGTTCCTTGAGCCGTGTGTTACGTAAGGGTGTATCTTGATGTAAAACCACATTGGAGCACTGAACTTTATTATTGTAATGACAATTCTTTTCAACTCATGGCTGGGTCTTGATGTTGCTACATACAGCCTGAGGATTCTACTCCATAAGGTGTTCCACCTTGACACACAGGGAGGACCTGGCTCAATAGCAGCCAAGTCATCTTCAACAACACCTGTGATAACTCCTTTACAAATCCTATACAGGTATTTCTGATCCCAGGACAGATCTTTCTCCACTTCATCATTAAACACAGGGAAATCAGGGAAACTGACTGGCTGGAAGGCGACAACTGGAAGCTCAGACAAAGACTCCTTGATCTGCTTTCCAATGGGACCACGCCAATGCTCAGGACCACTTGGTTTACCATCATAGTGATAAAAAACTGCGCGGAAAGGCAGCTCATTTCCGTGAAGCTGACATATGAAATAATGGAGCGGGTGACCAAGTAACATTTCAAGATGATGAATGACTCCATTTTCTGATCCTACATTTACATTGGTTCCATCACAACCAACACACACAATGGGCTGCTGGGTTAGATTTTTCTCCACCAGAAACTCGTGAATAGTTTTGGCAATCTGCTTTCCGTGTCCAGTCTTGGGAGTCACATGTGTGAGATATTCATTGCCAGGCTCAACCATGATGACATAATGATCTTTCACCATCATCCTCGAACTCCATTTCTCGGTCTTCTCATTCTTTATCATCACACGAGTGGCGGTCTTCTTACCATCAAAATAGAGTGACGTCAAATTATCTAAACTAGCCATCTCAATTTCTTGCCTCTTAAATCGGTATTTTTGTCTCGCATCCCGCAGCTTATGTGGTCCAATAACCTGACTCTTGTCATCCTTTGTGATAATGCCATAGTCAGTTAAGGTGGCAGTAGCAATGGCAGCTCCAGCATAATCACTAATCAAGTATCGGTCACAAGCGGCAGCCAGTGTAGGGAGTCTTGTCCGGTTCTGTGAACTGGTGTCTGTCAGAGCCCTTGGATCAGGGACAAAATCAGCATCAGTATTGACGAGAGGAATATCTCTTGAATCATCTGAATTATCCTCAACATAAGGAATATCTCCAGCTACCAGATATCTATGTTTTTGCTCAAGCTGTCTCCTAACTCTGTCCGCATCATGCTTCTCTCTTGCCGTCACTCTGTCCCACATCTTCGTCACTTTCATGTCAACCCCTGCAATCTTCATCTTCCTATCACCTCGTTGGTCAAGGAGAAACTGCACCTCACGTTTGGGAACTTTTATAACACAATTACATGCCAGGTCTCCCCTACATTACAGTACAGTAACACAACATTGAGAAATGAAATGAGAAAAGGCTGATAATCAATATAGACATAGCACCATACTCATCTGCAACAAGACAACTTAAATGAAATAAGAGATATGAAAAAAGTTGATAAACACTGAACAGAACATTGCACCGCCACAGCGGCTGTTTGGCTAGTACTGTAGGTAAATTTAAAAATTTCAGTAGAAAATGCGGCAGACTAAACCTCGACATATCAGCTTCAAATTTGGCATGGAGTCTTAGATATGTATAAGGAACAATGCCTGAAGAGTGCAGCTTTGAGCAAAATTTCACTGCCCCCTAATATATATATATATATATATATATATATATATATATATATATATATATATATATATATATATATATATATATATATATATATATATATATATATATATATATATATATATATTTAATATATACTAATTCACAATATTTTATAATTGTATTCATGTACTGAATATTCTATGTAAAAAATCAATTTTAAATGAATTATTTATAGTGCTTGGACACAAAGAAGGCTATAAATAGCTTTCTTATCTCCCCCTACATCTCTTACCCTCTGTCAGAGAGAAGGTCTTCGCAAATAACTTTTGTTTGTTTATTTTCATTGTTTGTCTAATTTATCATGTTGTATCAAAGTAATATTACTAAAAGTTGTGTAGGTAGCAACCAAACAGGGAGATACTACCACCTGGGAAGATATTGGAAGCATAATGTACAGTACTGTCTAATGGTAGACCCTACTTCCATATGGCATCACGAAAATTGTGACCAAGTCTTAGGTTGCTGATCTATCTTTCTGCCTCATTTACACACAATTGCAGAGTTTCAATTGTTTCTCTTACTTTGACAACACAACTTACATACAGTATACTGTTTCTCACCTTTGATCTTTTTCATTTTTGCATTTATTTATGGTTGGTTATTTAAAATAAGGCCAATTCACTTCAAGTATTGGCATCAATTTTTACCGGCCAGTGTACAGTTGTGTAAACACTAGTGACTCACTTAAGCATCTGTTATTTAACTGGAACTAATGTCGGTGTGAGTAAAATTTTTCCATTTACTTGAAATAGATTTACCGATTTATTTGTTTATTTATTTATTTATAATATACTGTAATATATTAAACACACTGCAAGTATTTTCTTTAATTTATAAACTTGTTTTGCGACAAAGGGAGGCTTCCATTATACCTGGTAGGTGAAGCTGACCTGATACATTTATGGTGATCATTAAGGATCAAACACCAAATCAGATGACCTGACTTCATCTTCATCATTCTCATCCTAAATTTACCACTGTCGGTAGTTTCAAGAATTAACGCAGTCATTTACTGAATATTCTTTGCAAAAAAATAAATTTTAAATTAATTATTTATAGGAGATAAGTATTATGATCAGTAAATATACCGATATGCATTAATGACCACCTCGAACACAAAGACGGGCTAAACATAGCCCAATCTCCCCCTCTTACAGCGGTCACTTTCCCTTTTTTGTCTCGTCACTGGCAAATGGTGGGGGCGGTGCGTGATGATAGCTGTGTTTAGTACCGGGGTATATTGTTCTTTTACGGTATGTTAGACAGGTTTATAATACATTTTTACTATTTTATTATACCGGTAATCTTATTTTTAATCCAGCTTCCCAATCGTAAGTTTCAGTATAAAATAATTAGTGGTAGGACCTTGTGGGTGGTTTACGATGTTTTCCATCACCACTCTTGACACGCTAAACCACAATATTTAAGAGGTAAGAATTTTATACCCGGTACTTAAGACGACCCCTAATTTTGGGCTGAATTTTTAAAGGTTCAAATTCCATCTTATAGGCCGAGATATACGGTACGGTATTTATTAATTTGCCAAGAAGAGCTTCACATCTTAACACATTGTTCACATTTGGAATATAACCCTAACATGCTGTATCTGTGCAATATTTGGGAAGCTGAACTGGTATAAACACACAGTTATATCATTACAGTAACAAGAAGATAGTCTGTGTGAAGGTAAAATTATGCAAATACCGTACTGTACTGCATGAAATATACCCATCAATAACGATGTCCTTCATTACAGAGGGGGAAGAAATAATTGAAGTAGAGAATGAACACAAAGATTAGCTCTGCCTCACGAAGGACCACCCTTTATCCTGTAATCCCTTACCTCATAAATTTACACCTTTCTTAATACTTTTATACTGTATACATGATTGGTTCACATCCTTACCACTTAATTATTCACATTCTCAACCTAATTAACTTAGTCATTACCCTTTAATGGCTCATATCTAAGTGCCTCTCATGTTTAACCCCTCAAAAATGCCATATCTTAACCCACACACCACCTTCACTCAATATACAGTACAGTGCATATTTAACCCCTCAACTTCTTAATCTATAAATCCTCCTACCCTCATCTAGAGCACTACTGTACTTAATCTTACACTAACCATCTCTCCATACAGTACTCCCTTTCTTCTAATCCCTCGACCCGTGAATTCCCTCCAAGAACCACAGTTACCTTTTCATAGCCAGGTTCGTTGTGGTATGGGCGCTCGTTCATGAGACTCTGGAGAGATAACAACACACTGGATAGGTTGGATGCTGGACTCCACGCGGGGCCTGACCAAGTCCTGCGGGTGGAAGGATTAGAGCGTCTTTAGCCTTATGTATTAGTCAGGTTAACTTGGACACACACTCAAAAGGCCTAGGAGTAATTAGCAGTTTATCAGTCAAAATGTGAGGTAAGTGTATTCATGTTCATGCAGGCACGCACAAAAATACACACGGATGCACACACACACACGCTGTACAAATATTTACCAAATACCTATATATAATGTACAGAGACACAGATATAACGACTATATGTCACAAACTACATAAAAATCTTATAAATCTTACTTTCACTTTGATATGTTAATACTGTACCTGTATTAAGTTTGCAACCTTAAAACTCAGAGGAAAACTGCTCTTTCACACACAATATATCCACAAAACAATAAATACAGTGCATTCAGACCAAGGTAACAGATAAACAATGTCTTAGCACAGCTATATCTCTTAGAGGATAAGGAATGAATGCACTCACTTACCCCAAAATGCTAAGGCAAACTTTGCCATTTTTGTATAAATTGGGATTGAATCTAACAGAATCCCCTCCAGTCGTCAATAGTCGTACCCTGGGTGGATGAAGAGGATACTGTGGACCAAACCGGACAAGAAAGTGGAAAAATCCCCCTTCGTATGGTGTGTCGAATGGTCCAATAATAAGGCAGTGGACCTTAAATAGGTTGTCCTCCTCAGGAGCAGCAAATATTCCAGGCAAAGGTTCAGTGAAAATGCTACTGAGATCCCTGAAATTAATGTCCTTAATTATACATCTTATGACAAGACAAAGTCTAGCTATGTTCTCAACACTGGCATAACTGGTGTTTTAATGACTAGACTCTTATTCTTCAAGGTACCCTGTATAGTCCCTTTCACTAGAGCATTTCCAAGTTATGTGCAGTGTGGCAGCACTGTGTTTGTTTACATTTGACAGAAGGAAACTCGCAGTAGTAAACATACTATGGAATCAAAGTAAAACATTATTAAAACAAATATCTTAATTTAATGATTTATGGAATGTTTATATGACGTGCCCCTGTAAACGCACTAGTGAAGGGGGCTGTACATCACTGTACAGGTATATCATTCACTTTCGAAAGTTACAACTACAATCTTCTGATTTTCAACTGGGCTTTCATAGCCGAGTATACTGTGTGCAGGATCATAAACATGATTACAGTGATCCCTCTGTTAACGAACACCTCGGTTAACGAATTACCTTCCAAAAGAATATTCAATTCGGTTAAAGAATTCCTTACGAATTTTTCCCAACATGTTTTCGCCTGCTCACCAGCTGTAGTATTGTCCGCCAATACAGTAATCGGTTTTAGGGCTTAAATTCCTTCCCATTTGAGTAAATATCAAGAAGGTTGCACTATCAATAATTTTCCAAGTCTTATATGAAAATTTTTAGTCATTTTAATAATTATTTAACATAATTGAAGTACAGGGAACTATAGTAGTTTTTAGAGTGCCAAACATCCACTTGACTCACCCAGAATGGCATCAGTTTGTGTCTCTGCTCAGTGGAGGAAGCATCTTGCTTGAGACTCTCTTGAACATAAATTATTATTAAGTTTTTACAGTACAATTAATGGTCATTCTGAAATTTATTTTACATATTGACAATATATAATGCAGTGCGGTGTTGATTTAAAGAAAATAATCTTGAATTACACCAAGTGAACTTAAAATTTTATGGGTGAAATGGCGGCATGAAGCATGGGGTGACTTCTCTTCCACCCCCACTTCCTTCTCTTCTCCCTTCTCCACCCCACTTCTAATTCCCATCATCATCATCATCATCAACCAGGAGCCTTCTACATGCACACCTCAAAGTAAGTGTACTTTACTGCATTTATTTTTAATTTGTATGTAATTTTCGGTGAGCTGGAACCAATTACCCAATATCCCATTGAAATAATGGTTTCGGTTAACGAAATTTTCGGTTAACGAATGACCTTCTGGAACGAATTGTGTTCGTTAACCGAAGGACCACTGTAGTTAGTGCACTTGGTCTTCAGTGAGTGTCCATCAGGCAAATGAGTTTCTTGGCTGAATTTTTAAGCCACCTGCCTCGATGGACAACAACAATGCTGTACAGTATGTACTGTATATATATATTTATTTTTTTTAAATGTCTGGCGCAAGTAATGAATTAGAAATTCCAAGTTATAAGAATAGGAATAAAACAGAACAATTCTCATATAATTACGAATATTCTAAAAACAAACTTTACACAGACTATACTGTACTAGACACTAATCCACTTAGTACCATACAGTATAGGTATTGACACATGTTATTTTCTAACTTCTAATATTATAAAAAATGCTGCTAATGTATGAAGTTCAATACTATACAATTTAACACTCGTAACAACTCACTTTTTCACACGCCCAGCACAAAGGTTCCCAGGAGGTCCTGCACGATCCCAATCTGGAGAGGCCAATGGGTCATATCGCCAACTTCCTGAAGAAGTACTGGGCAAGTAGAAGGAATCCAGGTCTAATGGAGCATTGGGAGGAGACTGTGGGTTGGGTACCACTAGTGAGGGGGACAGTTGAGATAATACATTTGAAGGGGTTCCTAGAAATGATGAACCTAAAGTAACAGAGGTAGGCTGTGAATTTTGTGATGTTTGTAATTCAGTGGGTGGAGACTGTGATGATGGTACGTGCTCCACTGCAAACAGTGTTTGTGTGAGGGAATCGATTGTTGAGGATTGTGAGTGTGGTAAAACTATTGGGGGGGTCCAAACAGATGAGGGTGAAGACCCTCCTGGAGGTGAACTTGAGGAAAGATACTCTGATGTGGGCGACTGTGAGGGAGGACAGTCTGCTACTGGTGGAGACTGTGAGGTGGACCACACTGTTAATGAGCCAGAAGAGGTGATCACTGTAAGTGGTGCTTGTGATGCAGCGATAGACTGTGAGGGAAGGATTCCATCTGGGAGTGACTGTGAGGGAAGGATTCCATCTGGGAGTGACTGTGAAGGAAGGATTCCATCTGGGAGTGACTGTGAGGGAAGGATTCCATCTGGGAGTGACTGTGAAGGAAGGATTCCATCTGGGAGTGATTGTGAGGGAAGGATTCCATCTGGGAGTGACTGTGAGGAGTGAACCGCATTTGAGATAGCCTCAAGGAGTGGGAAGATGGAGGTAGAATCTGCTTCAGCCACTGTACTCTGGGGCTCCATTTTAAATGGATTTAAAATCCTGTGGGGGAAAAAAAAATTCAACGTCAGTGACTTATGAAAAAATACAATTGACTTACTCATCAGCATGTTACATAAACTTGAACATTGTTCACAGTTGAAAGATGGTAGTGAGGGAAACACGACTAAGAGATGGACCAGACAAACACAGACAGCATTGTGTACAGTATACCCTGCAGATCCTGTGACAAGACATAACATAGCGCAGGCATGGGCAGCCTTTCCTCAGTCATGGGCTGCATTATGATTTAGGTATTTTTCTGCGGGCCAACCCACCAAATCCTACCTAACCCAAAAGTAATGTTAATATTGTATTAGCACACATAGTGAAGCAATTTATCGTCACGTCACCTTACGATATTTTCAGTTTACAATCAGTTTTGTTCCCATTTATGAAACAATTCCATCATAATAATTTTTAAAGTACTGTAGTACAGTATGTTAATGTTTCTTTGCATTTAACAGGAGAAGAGCAAAGCAGTCTGTGAATACAGTAGGTCTTCGCTTAACCTCGTGGTTGCGTTCCTGAAAACCACGAAGTTATCGGAAACAATGTTAACGGAATCAATTTTCTCCCATAAGAAATAGGTAAAATACGGGAATTACGTTCCCCAGCCTCCCTTTGCCCCATAAAATACATTACATATACATAAATCCAATGGAATTTTTATAGAAAATAGTATATATTATCCACCCAAAAATATAAATAAACTAAATCATTTTGCATTGTACTCACTCATGGGCGGAGGTGGAGCGAGTGTGTGGTGGGTAGTGGAGAGGAGGAGGGCGGGAGAGGAGTAGGGTGGTGAGTCACTGAGACCCGGGGGGTGGCTCCTCCTCCCACTCTGACTGAGATTCCTCCTCGCTTGCAGGCTATGAAGCCATTTCAAATGGTTACAGTCCAGTATTTAGAGCTAAAACACTTAAACACGCACGAGCACTCTCTCCGCGAGAGAGCGTAGCGAGCCAAGATGAGATTGGGTGATGCGCCGTAGAAAGTAGTCCATGACGATGTTATACCGAACTGGCGGGACAGTGTCCGAATCATGGGTATCTAAAGAGTAGCGACTTTATAACGAAACAACGTTGTCGGGGGCAACGTTAAACGAGGACTTACTGTACAGTACATTGATTTTTCCTACAGTTACAGCATATTTCTTACTTATGAAACACACCCACCAGAATAATGCCAATATTAATCTTGGCATATGAAGAACTACAATGAAACAACCTATCAGCTCATCTCAGTATAGGTATTCCTGAGCATGCTGATTCCAAATCTATGGTTCACGATTCCATTGCGGGGTAATTAGTGGCAGTGGTGGGCACAGCTAAACGAAAAGTTAGCTTCGCTAACCACTAATCCGCTAACTAAAAAGTTAACTTCGCTAACGCTAAACCGTTAAACAGCTAAAAAAAATAAGCGTAAGCTAACACTAACCGCTAACTTTTATTATATGAATTTCGCTTCGGTTTGTTTGTTTTTTGGCTCTAAAACCCTTATAAACAGACCTGGAGAGCTGAAATTTTCATATGTTGTTTTGTAGCTTAGACATAGAGCTTTCCAAAAAGGTATAGCATGCCAAGATCAGATAATGATCAAGGTGTACACAAATAATTAAATGAACAAATGAAATTAAACATTAGTTTACATTCGTTTCAACATACACTTTACAGTAAAAGTCCAAAAATCAGGATGCCAGAAATCCGGACCACTCGAGAATCCGGACTTTTCGAAAACCCAATTTTTTTTTTTTAGCTGGCTTTTGTGTGTATGTGCGCATGCGTGAGCACCACAGCTGCACAGCGACAACAAGCGACCACGCGCGGTCGCCACTTTAAAACGAGCAATCAAACTGTGACAACGTATGTAATTTTGAGTCCTACTCTTTCCATTTACAGAGTACTGTACAAGCCCATAATAATGGTTCCTAAAGTAGATAAACTTCGTTGTGTGAAAAGAAAGAAGAACACGTTGAAATTGAGTGACAAACTTGAAATAATTAAGAACATAGAACGTGGTGTGAGAAGTACTGTTCTAATGGAAACATATGACATTGGAAAGTCGATAATTTATAATATAAAAAGGCAAAGAATAAGATTCTAGAATTCACAGCTTTTTCTTTAAAACTGCTCGTTTTGATAAATGAAGCATGCTATATTTGCTAATGAATAAACTATCAAAATGTACCTGTTCATCTCTTCTTTATTCCTCCTTAAATTTGAATTTTAAAAGTACTGCCTGAGAATCCGGAGAATCCGGACCGACCCAATCCCCAAGCAGTCCGGATTTTTGGACTTCTACTGTATAATCTTTATTTACTGTACGAAAAGACAGAAAGTATAAAACGAATCCAAAAACTATAGTACTGTATAGCATAGGTAGCAAATAGCATCATGCCAAGATCAGATGATGATCAACTTATCAAGGTGTACACTGTACACAATTTCACAAATAATTAATTTGCATTCTCATACAACCTATCGGCCTTATTCTTTATTCATGTAAATATGCAATACCACCACATACACATACCACATTATACCAGTCATAATACCAGTGCATTTTTATATAACTTATTGTTGGTCTTAGTCATTCATGTAAATAAACAGAAAACTCTAAACTTTAATGAAAAGTAAGTTTTAAGAAAAATTTGTTTGGCGCACACCTTGGATGACATCCTGGTTATGAACTTATGCAGTACTTAGCATAACCAAATATATTGACACAAAAAAATCCTAATTAAATTAACAAATAAATGAGAAATGAAATTATACATTAGTTTAGAATTACACTCTATGATTCTTTCAACATACACTGACAGTCTTTATTTACTGTAAAAAAAAAAGTACTATTAAACTTTAATAATCGAAAAATTTCATTTACTCCGGCTGCAGTGGCTGGGCCTTCTCCATCGCCTCGACGTGATGCTGGTTGTCCTTCATAAACATCAGCCCCTCAAAGTTGCCATCTGACAGAGTGGTCTTGGCCCTCAAGATATCTTTGCACGTACTAACACGCAGTCAGCCAAGAGTGCCTGACTGGCGGTTGGAGACACGCGTCGCGGCGTCACACGCTTACAACAAACATGAACAAACATGTATAAAAATTTTTAGCGGACTTAGAGTGAGTGGAACTAAATTTAGCGGAAGCTAATTGGGTCCGCTAATGGTTTCCAAAGTTAGCGAAAACGCTAATCCGCTAACGAGAAAGTTAGCTTCGCTAATTAGCGGTTAGCAGATTAGCGGAACCGTGCCCACCACTGATTAGTGGTTGTAATGATGCTTGGAAGATTTTAATTATTTTATTTCAATGCTAATTACTCACCAACTGTGGGTTTCCAAGGTGCGACTTAGGAGTTTTTGTGTTATTCTGGAATACTTAATTAGTTAAACCCTGCGTGATCACCGCCCATGATCCTACTTGAACTTACCCAACCTTAGTCAATTCCCAAGTGACCCACTGCCACATTGCAGCTAATCCAACAAACAGTCTTCGCAGAAGTTGGCCTGTAAACTCACTAGTTAAAATGTTTATATTGTTGACTATATATACAGTACTTATTTCACTGTTACATTCTTGTACAGTTGGTCCTCATATTACGCGGTTAATGTAACCCGGAGGGTACCGCGGAAAGTGAGAAACGCGTAAAGTGAATAACATAACATATGGGATTAATTGAAATGGAGTCCGGGCCGATCCCCAAACTCCACTTTTTGACGACACACAACTATGTTGTAGTAAAAATATTATCTTAACTTTATGATGGCATGCACACACAATTAATAATTAAGAGAAATATCAATAATATTAGGTTTTTTAACACTTACATTAGTAGAAAAGATGGCTGGGCACACGGGGATGGGCGGTTGGTTCCGAGGCAGAGGGCAGATTATTGGCCCTCACCTGTATCACTTGTATCAATTGTATCACTATCCACCACAGAGGCTTGCAGGGCCTCTTTGTCAAACCCCCCAAAGTTCATATAAGTCCATATCCTCACTATAATTATCACTATCACTGACTTGGGCCGGCTGTAGTGGGTGGCGGGTGAAGAACTGGTCATGTTTTGATGACTGGGCGACCTTGTGCGCACCATTTTCGCGCCTCTTACACAACATGGCGGATGGCGGGAGGTTTGGATCCAAAAATGGCGCGGCTTGCCAGCCGCTCTCCGCGTAATGGGGTTCACGACCGCGGAATGTGAAAATGTTAGGTTCTGGCAAGGCACCGCGTTAACGGTGAAACGCGGAATGCGGGACCGCGTAATATGAGGACCAACTGTAGTTACTTACTCTTAGGTGATGAAACAGTACTGTAATGAATTGTGTGTGAAGATTATTCTTTTAATAAATATTGCTTCACTCACCATAAACTGGCTACATTTACCTGAACCGCAGGCCACATTAAATAGAATTTTTCAATCACTCCACAGGCCGCACAAACACATGGTCTGGGCTGCGGGCTGCCCATGGCTGCTATAGAGAGACAAGCAGAAGTCTAAAGGTGAGACTCCGAGAGCACCGAGCAGACCTCAGACACCACAGGACAACCAGCACCTTTGTCAATCACATACACACAGATGAGAAGGTGCCCATGTCTTATACAAGGGCAAGAACAAGACCAGTAAAGCCCTGGAAGCAGCTTACATCATGTTGTATCCGAACATCAACACTAAAGCAGGCTGGGTGACCTGGTCGCACACCGTGGCTCAGATGGCGGCACGTGATTGGTGGAGAGAACGGACAAAACTGACACCAAATGACCAATGGGGAGTCGTGATATAGCCCTGCCAACCACCGCGGTACATATCTATGTTTATTAATTCTTTTGAAAAAGTCTCTTAGTCGTGTTTCTTTCACTACCACACTACCTTACATAAACTTACGCCTAATTACAATAAACAGTAGAACTAACCCAAGTCATAAATATTAAGTATAGGTGTACAGCAATAAACTATAGTACCAGTATCCTCAACAAATGCTGTACTGAATATAAAAAATTTTTAGTCAGTCAATACCTACTGCATAACAAAACAAAAATACAATATCAATTATTGATTAAAGTACTGTACAGTATACTGTACTGTATGTAAACTAGACACAGTAAACCCCATTACATTTAACTAACTGAATTAAGCCACTTTATTCCCACTGTTCAACACACCTCTCCTGCAGTCACGGTTGGGCCTCTTTCACATGCCTGTTTTTTGTCGCATCAATAAAAAATCAATGGAGTTTTATGGGACTTTTCACACGGACATATGACATGTTGACCAAACGCTTGTACAGTTCAGTACTTCCAAAATGGGACATAAGAATACTCCCAGCATTTTAGAATTCTTCATGGGGCAATAGAGGATTTCAGACGAACGTTTGTTTGTCATCTGTTTGTTTACAACCAACCCGCTTAGTCCAAGCGTACTCTCACGTCCACCAAAAAATTAAAATTACACCATGACGCTTCAACAAAGTTACTTTCATTGGTACCAGATACCAAAATAAGTAGATTCTGTTTAATATGGCAGGGAGTCTGGCACCTTCCTGCTAGCAAGTTAGGGTTAACAAGTACTGTACATTAATGCTGCCAATGATTCTAGCAAGAACACACTGCTTTTCCACCATAATTTTTGTTGTTAATGGACGAGTTGACGTTTCTGGGTAAACACAAGAAATACACTCTGCCACGTTCGTAGAGTGATACGGTATACAGTACAGTATAGTCTCCATTTACGCGGTCAATTGAACCCGTGGAGGTCCGAGTAAAACGAGAAACGCGTAAACGAAATAACAGAACATATGGGATTAATTGAAATAGAGACTGGGCCGACTCCCAAACTCCACTTTTTCCGACACAATACGTACCTTGTAGTAAAAATAACAACATAATTTTATGATGGTATTGACACACATAATATCTAAATAAAAAACTACACTACTGTACAAATAAAGGTGTTGGTAGAAGAGATGGGTCGGCATACGGGAATGGCGGCTGGTTTCGAGGCAGAGGGCAGATTAGTTGCCCTCCGGTGAATCACTATCACTATTCACAAAGGTTTGCAGGGCCTCCCTGACAAACTCCTCAAAGTCCATATCGTCACTGTCACTATCACTAACTTGGGCTGGCTGTGGTTGTGGTGGGTTACGGGCGAGACTAGCATTGATGTTGTCGTGATACATCTGGACATACGGCTCCATAATTTTCGACAGAAGGTTATTAGACACTTCATGCCGACGCTTGACTGTGTCTTTGTCAAGGATGAGATTGATTTTCTCCCCCAACTCAATGACTTCCTTCACATAATCATGGCTTGGTCCAGGTTCAAGGTTTTTCTAGGGTGGTGGGGGTCCAGCGGAAGCCATTGTGAGGGGAATAGCAGGCACAAGAGAGAACTGTATACGCGGAGAACTGAGAACAATGAGAGTGGCCCAGCTAGGTCAGCGACTCCTTCCTTCTGGTGGCAGGGCACGTCATGTTACATTAAACCAATCACAGCTAGCGGCAGAGGGAGGTAAGGATGCGTGACCCAATCACAGTCCGATACGTCATATGACGTCAGCGATAACGTAAGAGCGACCTAATGCGCACCCCTCACCGCGCCGCTTCACACGTATGGTAAAGAATGGACCACGAGTAAAAAATGGCGCGGCGCGTCTGGACCTCTCCAGCAGCTCGCCACGTAAATGATGAAATTTTCCACGTAATTCAAACATTTCATTCTGGCAAGGCACCGCGTAAATGACCAAACGCGTAAACAAAATCCGCGTAAATCAATACTGTACTGTATATAATTTGTAATAAAAGTTAAAAGTCCTGCTACAATAGTCGAGATAAGTTTATTTCTCTAGAAACAGAGCCGCCATTTGCAATGACGTCATAACTTACCCTGTAGACGATGCTTTCTGTCAAACTCACAGCTGCAGTCGTAGGTGTACAAAGGGTGGCCTCTTTAGACCCCAAATGCCATGTTCAGGTAAGTTTTAAGGGTGTTTTTTTATGGTCTAAGTCATGGACATTTCGTAAGTGAAGATATGTGCAGTGAAGAGCTGCTTCAAATATAGGTTTGATGGATATATGAACGATAGGGGTTGGGTGTAAATGGGACTGCCCAGTATGGGCCAACAGACCCGCTGCAGTTTCCTCCATTCTTATGTTCTTATGGACATTAAAAACTCCCATGTTCACACCAGCTCAGCTACCATGTATTCTTACCTGGTACACTTTCTCCTTTTTTTTGTGCATTTACAGAGTACATCAGTACTAGATGGAGATACGAGTTAATTTAAAGTAATGACATTGTCTGGACTTTGTTTGGAGAATGCCTGATGCTAGGTAAACACGACAACATAGTGCTGTTATTGTTTTGAAGATTCACTAATGAACCACCGGGATATATCATCATTTATATTAATTGATGGGTAATATTTTATTTTAACTACCATAAGTATTTGGATGCTTAGATTCCAGATAGGCTATATTGGGTAAATTTTAAGTTTTGGTCATGCCTGTACTTAGACATGCAGACTGGTTTTTTTTCTGGTGGTTTGCGATGTGTTATGAACGATTTAGACCTTCATTTTTATCGGAAATCACTAGTTTTGAGTTACTACCCTCCCTTACCGATGTATGATAAGTTAACCTTATAACTAATCATAACCTAACCTATGACCTGTATTTTCTTATGTGACCGAAAAATGTTTTGCGACAGAAATCCCATAGAGATAACGTGTCTTATTGTTTGAAGTATTTAATCCCATAGTTAGAATCTTAAGGTTCCCCAGATGACCAAAACAAAAATAATACCAATATTGTTTGGAATGTTTATACTATGAAATTTGTAGTCGGGGCAGCTAATATCCATTGAATGAATTAGTTAATGTGCTTAGTAATATTTATATATTCAAAATAGTATTACTGTGTTGCACAGTAAAGCACAATTAATTATCTAATAATATTTATTTACAGAGTCGATCAGTCAAGACGGTTGGACAACTACTTCCAGGGTTCATCAAGGCAGATGAAAGAAATTTACCAAAAGTAGATGTCTTTATGATTGTAGAGTATTATCAAGAACTCGGCCATCCAGCTACGAAGCGCGTTAAATTACAGCTGTCATCTGATCATCTCAAGCCCATCCTCTGGTCATGGTTGTCCCTAGTCTTTCCACAACATTAAATACAGACATCAGTGACGAAAACTTAAATTTTCCAGACATGAAATAGAAAACAGTAATGAAAACTTCCATTTTGGAGTTACAGGTCTTTTGTATCTTTTTGGCACCCAGCAAGTAAATACACACGATGAATACTTGAGCAGTAATTTATTTTACCTAAAAATAAGGTATGTCTGTTTATATCAACATTGTATATGACCACAATTTCTGTATTTCTGCTGGTAGCAACACATACGCCACAGCTGGCTGTCTCCCGCAGGGCGGCTCGACACAACCTGTGACGTCACAACCATTCACAGCTTTTCGCAGTCACATGACATTTTAGCAACTTTAATCCTTCTTTATTACACTTTTTGGCCCAATTTATTAAAAAATATAGTTTCCATAGTAAAATTAAGCGTTTTCTTTCCCCATTGACCTGTCATCTTATGAAAAAATTCCAACCCTCAACTCATCCATAGCTAGTGACTGTTCTCTTTTGGGGAAGTGTTTATTTTTTAGAATTTAAATAAGGATAAGTTAAATACTGACAATATTATATACCGGTAACCACTCAGAAGGTAGGTTAAATAAGGATAAGTTAAATACAGACAATATTATATAACCACTCAGGGGGTGGGGGTAGGTTAAATAAGGATAAGTTAAATACTGACATTATATAAGAACTCGGGGGTCGGAAACGCCCCACCCAAGGGAGTTAGGTCAGGTTATGTCAAATAAGGTTTAGGTGAGGTCAAATAAGGTTTAAGTTAAATACTGAATACATTACATATCCACTCAAGGGGGAGGGGGGGGGTAGGTTAGTGTTACTTTTGTGTACATAAAAGCAGAAAAAAAAATTTTCCTGCATAAATTTTGCTGTTTTATTTACTGAAGGATGTTGATTTCTCCAGAAAAGCTGAAAAAAATAATGTTTGACCATAATTAGAAAAACGTTGTTTCTTTTTTTTCCCCAAAAAATCTATCTCCAATAAAAAAGCAGCAAAATTCATGCAGGAAAAAAATTTACTGGCAAAATCGCTCACAGCACTTGAGTAAACGTTTACCCATGCTAGGTGGGTTTCTTTGGTTGGTTAGGTCAGGTTCGATTAGGTTTTAGTAAATGTTATTTCTTGAAATACTTACTATGATGATATGAACATCTGTGGAAAAAATTAACAAAATCGAACAGCTCCTTCTGGTGGTTGTGGTGTTCTCATACTTTACCAAACCTGTAAACGATCCTAAACCATAAGCCATTGTCTGAATATGTGCCTAAATCACATGCCGGTGTTTGTAGAATAATTACCCAATAAGTAAGTATACAATAACCAGGTTAGGTTAGGTTCTCATACTTATGTTTTTAATTCCACATTTTGCCTCTGCTTCCAAACCCTTCTGGTGGGGGTCAAGATTAACAAGGTAGGAAAGTCGTAACTTAATTACACATTTTCCCAAACTTTCATTAAAACTACTGAATCATTAGTGAATGTTTGTAGAATAATTGCTTAAAATATCCCTAAACAAGACTATCAAGGACAATGGAGGAATCCTACAAAAGCCACTAGCCTCCTCCTCCAATCTCTAGTTTGGATGACTGAAGTGACTTAATCCCATCATTAATACACAACAAAAAAAGACCCAAACTCTATATCAAAGTTTCATATCACATGTAAGGAAAATTAGTACAGGTTTAAGGTATACATCATGACCCACACCCTGGACACTCTAGTTACTCACCCCCCTCCGAGATGTGGAGAGTAATTAATCTGTCGTCTCTTAATTGTGTATATGGAACAATAAATCACCGTTCATGCACATAGATATATAAGACAAGAAGTTGACACAGTGTTGGTGGATGTATACAACCCGTCCATGGTCCAGGTCGTCCCTCAACACACAGTCATCGTTTGACGGCCCACAACACAGGGAGGACAACTACATAATTATCTACTCTAATTAGTCCTTAAAATCGTCTAAGAAACAAAGAAGTTAATATTGGATCTGAATTTATACTTGAGGTTATGAATAAAATAGTATAAGTAGTTATTTAAATCATCCAAGAGTAAATTAAAACCGTCTATTAATTTTCCCCCATTTGATTATTTAATGTTTATTTTATAATGTACACTAAATTATTACCATCCAGATGTAACACCAACAACAGCTCAAGATTTACTTTCATACAAACAATAAATAAATAAATGGACTCAACCTACGAACTTGCTGGAAACATTCCTCTGTTATCATGTTTGTATGTTAAATAATTCATACCTACTATGATTTTTATATACATAGGACGATTTTAAGATGTAGGATACCGTTTATTCATTACAATTATCTGTGCTTGACCCTCATGACTATACTTCATGAAGGGATGTGCGCCGCCATTATCGTACATCCATGAGGAAAACAACACAATGTTGCCATACACTTGTCCCCAGTTATGGCTCAGCTAAAACATGACAATCTCCTCTACGTTTACACAGACACGTACAAATATATCTTATCTTTCTCTCACGTAGATTTCAAAACGTATTTCTTCTTGAATCATTGGTTGCAACGACGTACCAAACAAACTCACACAAAAAAGTAGGTGTAGGAATTTAAGATGAAGTAAAATGGTTCCATGACAAAACCCCAACGGACTTTTACTTTTTTTTTTTACTTTTATCCTCTTCGCCACTGATCGGCTTGTTAGCCGCTTGGGCGATCGGTCACGTCTCTTTTCATTTATATTCTTCACCAAAAGATCGGCTCGCTAGCCGCCCGGGCGATCGGTCACGTCTCTGTCACGCACTGTTGGCAAATACTGGGCATGCACCGGCTCCTGAATGTACCTGAACCCGCTCCAGTGTTGGTCAAGTCTTCTCTTGAAAGAGCTCACACTCGGTGCCGTCACAACACTCTCTGGTAGATTGTTCCAAGAGTTTACAACCCTCACTCCGAAAAAGTTTGCCCTCACGGTTTTCTGGACTTGCGGCTTCTTCAATCTTGAGCTGTGACCCCTTGTGGGGCGAGCGTCCGCCAGCTCCAAGTAAGGACACTCAACTGAGTAGTGCCCCCTGAGATGCTTATACACCTCAACTAGGTCCCCCCTTGCCCGTCTGTAGTATAAGCTAGGCAAGTTCAGGCGCTCCAATCTCTCAGGGTAGCTGAGGTGCCGAAGTGCAGGCACCAGTTTGGTGGCCCTCCTTTGAACATTTTCAACCAACTGACAGTCCCTAGCATATCTCGGGGACCAGATGGGGTGACAGTACTCCAGATGGGGAAGCACTTCACTCCTGAAGATCGTTACGAGGGACGGACCGTCTAGATATCTGAACGACCTTCTTATAAGACCCAATAATTTATTTGCCTGATTTACCTTCTTCTCACAATGGCCCGAGAACTTCAGCTCATTGTCAACATACACACCTAGGTCCTTCTCACACACAGTCTCAACTAGTACATTTTCTTCATCCCGTTGGGACATATGATACGCCTCCTTACCGTTGGTACGCCCCAGGTGCATCCTCTTACACTTCGTGACATTGAATCAACATACAGTAATATAAGTACAAACTGTTTGAGGAAATTTTGTGGGAGGCCATCATTCATCACCTGACAGAACACAGACTCTTCAACGCATTTAAATGTGGTTTCACTTTCACGGAGATAAATTCTGGACTGACACATCTCCTTACATTTCAAGAAGAATAACAAAATATAATAATATATGAACCAAAGTTTACCAGTGGATGTGTTATACTGTACATGATATTCTCTACGGCGTTTGATGATGTTCCACATGCAGCGTCCTGAAGATTGAGGCGTAATGGCATGACGCGCAAAACATCAGGATGGTGTTAAGTAGTGGATTAAGGGGAGGGAAAATAAATGGGCATATACACAGATCATCAACCTGGAGAAAAGTTCCCAGTCAAGTACTAAAAACATCCTTCCTGGGACCAAAAATTTTCTTTCTTTCACTTTTATCCTCTTCGCCACTGATCGGCTTGTTAGCCGCTTGGGCGATCGGTCACGTCTCTTTTCATTTATATTCTTCACCAAAAGATCGGCTCGCTAGCCGCCCGGGCGATCGGTCACGTCTCTGTCACGCACTGTTGGCAAATACTGGGCATGCACCGGCTCCTGAATGTACCTGAACCCGCTCCAGTGTTGGTCAAGTCTTGTCTTGAAAGAGCTCACACTCGGTGCCGTCACAACACTCTCTGGTAGATTGTTCCAAGAGTTTACAACCCTCACTCCGAAAAAGTTTGCCCTCACGGTTTTCTGGACTTGCGGCTTCTTCAATCTTGAGCTGTGACCCCTTGTGGGGCGAGCGTCCGCCAGCTCCAAGTAAGGACACTCAAATGAGTAGTGCCCCTAAGATGCTTATACACCTCAACTAGGTCCCCCCTTGCCCGTCTGTAGTATAAGCTAGGCAAGTTCAGGCGCTCCAATCTCTCAGGGTAGCTGAGGTGCCGAAGTGCAGGCACCAGCCTGGTGGCCCTCCTTTGAACATTTTCAACCAACTGACAGTCCCTAGCATATCTCGGGGACCAGATGGGGTGACAGTACTCCAGATGGGGAAGCACTTCACTCCTGAAGATCGTTACGAGGGACGGACCGTCTAGATATCTGAACGACCTTCTTATAAGACCCAATAATCTATTTGCCTGATTTACCTTCTTCTCACAATGGCCCGAGAATTTCAGCTCATTGTCAACATACACACGTAGGTCCTTCTCACACACAGTCTCAACTAGTGCAGTTTCTTCATCCCGTTGGGACATATGATACGCCTCCTTGAGCTACATAAACGATGTAGGTGAAAATACCTCGAACCACATGTGGGAAAGAAGTAAGTCCGTAAAACACTGCATAAAGCGCAAAATGAGCTGCATGAATTTTTCAAAAGATGAGTCACAATAACTCACACCAATCTAATTTGTAGGTAATACTTCCATAACACCTGTAAAAAAGGAGAAAGAACTAGGTGTTGCGATAGACCAATCACCAAAAGCTGTGTAAATGATAGGAATTATTAATCGTGCCTTACACTACCTTTCATTAAAACGGTAGGAATATTCGGTTCACCTGAAGCCTCGACCACCTCCTGGTTATTTAAAATGATGAAGTCATTTAAATTTCTCGACTCTTTTCGATTCATAGTCTACATACTGTAATAAAACTAGTCTGTTAGAAGGCTGGCTGAAAATCCGATTCTGTGTATA